CGAAGCAGAAAAATTTCCATCCCGCCTCTCAAACCCAACCCGGATCTGCAGCTTTAAAGCCGGTGACTCAACCGCCGTGTGTCTTGCGTGTGCGCTTGGACACGCTACAAAATCCACAGCCTTTAAACATGACACAAATCTTGGCTGGTTTTAGCCCGGCAACGGATTTCTCTCTCGAGTGCGCCACTTCCTCAACACATTGCAACTCACAACTCACTGTTTGATACACCAAAATCAATAAGACAGACAGACGGATAGATGGATAACACGTAGAAAAGAGAGAGAATGATAGATAAATAGGTTACTGTGGGCATCAAATTGTGCCGTTTTGTAAACCGCCCTGAGTTGCCCTCAGGCTGAGAATGGCGGTATAGAAATATAGTAAATAATAATAATAGATAGATAGGACACACACAGAGAGAGAACGGATAGATAGATAGATAGATAGATAGATAGATAGATAGATAGATAGATAGATAGACAGGACACACAGAGAGAGAACAGATGGATAGATAGAGAGAACGGATAGATAGATAGATAGATAGATAGATAGATAGATAGATAGATAGATAGATAGGACACACACAGAGAGAGAACGGATAGATAGATAGATAGATAGGACACACACAGAGAGAGATAATGATAGTGGATGGATAGATAGATAGAAATAGAAAGTTAGAGCGAGAGGTGGATCATGGAAAATAGATAGATGATAGAGATACAGAGAAAGAAAGAGTGAAAGGTAGGTAGATAGATAGATAGATAGATAGATAGATAGATAGATAGATAGATAGATAGATAGATAGATAGGACACACAGAGAATGATAGATAGATAGAGTGAGAGAGAGGGTCATGGCAAAATAGAAACAGATAAATAAAGATAGATGATAGACACACAGAAAAAGAGTGAAAGGTGAGAGATAGATAGATAGATAGATAGATAGATAGATAGATAGATAGATAGATAAGACACACACAGGGAATAATAGAGGAAGGAAGGAAGGATGGATGGATAGATAGATAGCACACACACAGAGAGAATGATAGGCAGACAGACAGACAGATAGATAGGACACACAGAGAGAGAATAATAGAGGATAGCTGGATTGATAGAAAGGACACACAGAGGGAATAATAAAGGATGGATGGATCGATAGAAAAGACACACAGTGGGGAATAATAAAGGATGGATGGATAGATAGGACACACAGAGGGATAGATAGAAAATACACACAAAGGGAATAATAGAGGATGGATGGATGGATGGATGGATGGATGGATGGATAGATAGATAGATAGATAGATAGATAGATAGATAGATAGATAGATAGATAGATAGAGAAGGTAGATAGATAGATAGATAGATAGATAGATAGATAGATAGATAGGTAGACAGACAGAGAGAATGATAGGAAATAGATAAATAAATAGATAGATAGATAGATAGATAGATAGATAGATAGATAGATAGATAGATAGATAGATAGATAGATGACACACAGAGAGAGAGAATGATAGGAGATAGATAAATAGATAGATAGATAGATATAGATAGGACACACACACAGAGAGAATGATAGGAGAGAGAGAGAGAGAGAGAGAGAGAGAGAGAGAGAGAGAGATAGATAGATAGGACACACAGAGAGAGAATAATAGAGGATAGATGGATAGATAGAAAAGACACACAGAGGGAATAATGGAGGATGGATGGATAGATAGATGATAGATAGATAGGACACACACAGAGAGGGAATGATAGGAGATAGATAGATAAATAGATAGATAAGGCACAAAGAGATAATAATAGAGGATGGATGGATGGATAGATAGGACACACACAGAGAGAGAATAATAGAGGATAGATAGATAGGACACACAGATAATGACAGAAGATAGATAGATAGATAGATAGATAGATAGATAGATAGATAGATAGGACACACACACACATTGAATAATAGAGGATAGATAGGACACACAGCTAATGATAGAAGATAGATAGATAGATAGATAGATAGATAGATAGATAGATAGATAGATAGATAGATAGATAGGACACACAGAGAGAATATTAGAGGATGGATGGATGGGTGGATAGGACACACACAAAGAGAGAATAATAGATAGGACACACAGATAATGATAGATAGATAGATAGATAGATAGATAGATAGATAGATAGATAGAGACAGACAGACAGACAGACAGACAGACAGACAGACAGACAGACAGACAGGACACAGAGAGAGAATGATAGATAGATAGATAGATAGATAGATAGATAGATAGATAGACAGACAGACAGACAGACAGACAGACAGACAGACAGGACACAGAGAGAGAATAATAGAGGATGGATGGATGGATAGATAGGACACACAGAAAGAGAGAATAATAGATAGGACACACAGATAATGATATAGATAGATAGATAGATAGATAGATAGATAGACAGACAGACAGACAGACAGGACACAGAGAGAGAATAATAGAGGATGGATGGATGGATGGATAGATAGGACACACAGAAAGAGAGAATAATAGAGGATAGATGGATATATAAATATATAATTATAATATCATTTTATTATTAGTAGTAGTATATTGTATTACACTATAATATTATCAATATTACATGTATATACAATATATCATTATATTATAGGTCAGAAACAACTTGAAAGCTCACAATAACTACACAGGCACACATATACAAGAAAGTGGCATACACATACATGGATAAATGTACTGTTATCATTATTAGTTATTGTCATTATCATTATCTTCCTTTTCAGGGATTCCTAGCTGACCTTTAGTTGGAATGACTTCCTAAACAAGGCCAATCTATGACCTATTTGTCCCTAGTTTAATAATATGGAGGGGGAGAATGCAGCATATCAATAAATAAATAACAACAACAACAAGGGGAGATAACGCAGCCCATATATCTCAATAAATATTGTTTAAGGTCAAATCCTAATAGGAACAATGCTGGGGTGAGAAAGTGGCACATAAAGACTAATAATAATAACAACAACAATATATAGTAGCAGTAGTAATAGGAAGAATATGATTTATCATTCATTTATTTACGACATTTCGACCCCGGCTTTACATACAGGCAACAATTCGATGCCCTAAAACACAATGTACATGTAAATAAATATATAGGGTGAGAAAGTGGCACATAAAGAAGAAGAATAGAGAATAATAATAATATGAGGAATATTAGGATGAGAATTTGGCACATTAATAATAATAATAATAATAATAATAATAATAATAATAATAATAGGGGGGGACAGAAAGCAGCACACAAAGATGATGATGATAATACCAGGGTGAGAAAGCAGCATATAAGTAAGAATACTGGGGGTGAGAAAGTGGCACACAAAGAGTAATAATAATAGCCTTCAATAATAAGAATAATTACTAATAATAAAAATACTGGGGTGAGAAATCAGCATATAAAGAAGAGTTAGAATGCTCTGGGAAAGGAAGTGGCACAGATTTATTATTATTATTATTATTATTATTATTATTATTATTATTATTATTTGAAACACAACAAGATTAGTACACAGCAAATGAGATCACTGATGACTTTTGTACTGGATCACATGTTGAACACTTCCCAAGTATCTAGGACTATTATTATTACCATTATTATTATTATTATTAATTATTATTATTATTATTATTACTATGCCATTTTCTCTTATTATTATTGACACAAAATCAAAGTATGTCACTGCAAACGAGATCTATTTGCTGGATTTCGGCATGTTAATTCAATAATACCAATTATAATAATGTACAATAATATAATACAATAATAGAATAAATAATAACAGTGGAGGTGAGAAAGCGGTAGGTGAATATTAGCAATATAATGGTAATAGTAATAAAAGAATACAATATATATAGTCGCCTCTGGCTGAGAAATAAAATATATATTATAATATAATAATATAATAACAATAATAATAAGAGTGGTGGGGAGAAAGTGGCATGTTAATATTAATAATAATGGCAATAGTAACAATAGAGTTTGGGAATTGTCGTTACTGGGATTTATAGTTCACCTACATCCAGAGAGCACTATGGACTCAAATAATGATGGATCTGGACCAAACTCTACACGAATACTCAATATGCCCAAATGTGAACACTGGTGGAGTTTGGGAGAAAATTGCATAATAATAATAATAATAATAATAATAATAATAATGGTAATAATACAGAATAATAGAATAGACTAATACAATATAAGAATAATATTAATAATATAAGAATACATATACCATAATAAATAATACTGAGAGGGGTGAGAGAAAGGCATATTAATAATAATAATAATAATAATAATAATAATAATAATATAAGAATACATATAATACCATAATAAATAATACTGAGAGGGGTGAGAAAAAGGCATGTTAATAATAATAATAATATAGAATAACAGAATAGACTAATATAATGAAATATAATAATATATATAATAACATAGTAAATAATACTGAACAGGGTGAGAAAAAATGTGTCAATAATAATAATAATAATAATAAGGAATAACTGAAAAGATTAATAATAATATAATACCATAATAAATAATACTGAGAGGGTGAGAGAAAGGCATGTTAATAATAATAATAATAATAATAATATGGAATAACGGAATAGACTAATACAATATACTATAATAATAATAATAATAATATAATACCATAATAAATAATACTGAGTGGAGTGAGAGAAAGGCATGTTAATAATAATAATAATATAGAATAATAGAATAGACTAATATAATTAATAATAATAAAAGAATACATATAATACCATAATAAATAATATTGAGAGGGGTGAGAGAAAGGCATGTTAATAACCATTCAACAATCATAATAATACCACAAATAATGACTAATAATAATGAGTGAGGGGGGCTGAGGGAGAGGCCTGTGACTATTATTGATTACTGATATGGATGGGCTCTTACCTTCCCGCCTCCCCCGCCGGACTCCATGGCTGGCTCTGCTTTCTCCTCTCCTCAGCTCGGCTCTTCTCCTCCTGGCTGGCTGGATTGCTTTCCCTTCTTTCCCTCAGGCAGGCGAGAGAGAGAGAGAGAGAGCGAGCGAGACGCGTCCGCCCCGTGGGGAGCCCTCCCGGCACTGCCGCCTCTCCGCGCTCGCGCTCCTTCTCTCTCTCTGTGGGCGACACCAAAAGGCCGGCGGGAGGAGGGGTGGGCTGTAAAGAGAGACCCTCCGCGCAGGCGCACTACGTCCCCCTCTTCTTCTCCAATGCCTCGTCTCCCCGCGAGTCCTCTCTTCTTGCGTCCTCACCTCACTTCTCTCTCCCCCCCCCTTTTGAGCCGGCGTGGAAGAGGCGGGCGCTGATTGGCTGGAGGTGTGGCGGGGGTGTGTGCCCTTCGCCCCGCCCCTTTTCGGACTGCGTGAGGAGCCGCCTGGCGGAGATGGCGGGCGCGGAGGGGGCGGGGCCTGGGGAAATATGGACAGAGAAAGGGGCGGGGCTAATGAAGAGGCGGGAATCCGAGATGCTCTGAGGAGGACAGAAGGGAGCCGAGGTAATAAAGTGGGCGGAGTCGAGATGCTCTGAGGGAAAGGGGCGGAGCCTAACCGCTCTGAGAGGAAAGCGACAGGCTAAGAGAGGGGCGGAGTCAATGAAGTGGGCGGAGTCGGGATGCTCTGAAGGAAAGGGGCGGAGCCTAATCGCTCTGAGAGGAAAGCGACAGGCTAAGAGGGGGGCGGAGTCAATGAAGTGGGCGGAGTCGGGATGCTCTGAGAGGAAAGCGACAGGCTAAGAGAAGGGCGGAGTCAATGAAGTGGGCGGAGTCGAGATGCTCTGAGGAGAAAGGGGCGGAGCCTAGCCGCTCTGAGAGGAAAGCGACAGGCTAAGAGGGGGGCGGAGTCAATGAAGTGGGCGGAGTCGGGATGCTCTGAGGGGAAAGGGGCGGGGCCTAGCCGCTCTGAGAGGAAAGCGACAGGCTAAGAGGGGGGCGGAGTCAATGAAGTGGGCGGAGTCAATGAAGTGGGCGGAGTCGAGATGCTCTGAGGGAAAGGGGTGGAGTCGAGATGCTCTGAGAGGAAAGCGACGGGCTAAGAGGGGGGCGGAGTCATTGAAGTGGGCGGAGTCGACATGCTCTGAGGGGAAAGGGGCGGAGCCTAACCGCTCTGAGAGGAAAGCGACGGGTTAAGAGAGGGGCGGAGTCATTGAAGTGGGCGGAGTCGAGGTGCTCTGAGGCGAAGGGGGCGGGGCTAATAGTGGGCGGAGTCGGGATGCTCTGAAGGATGAAGGGGCGGAGCCTAGCTGCTCTGAGGGGAAAGCTAAGAGGGGCGGAGTCAATGAAGGGGCGGAGCCTAGCTGCTCTGAGGGGAAAGCTAAGAGGGGCGGAGTCAATGAGGGGGCGGGGCCGAGGTGCTCTGAGGGGAAAGCTAAGAGGGGCGGAGTCAATGAAGGGGCGGAGCCTAGCTGCTCTGAGGGGAAAGCTAAGAGGGGCGGAGTCAATGAGGGGGCGGGGCCGAGGTGCTCTGAGGGGAAAGGGGCCAAAACGGGCGGAGCTAGGAATGCAAATAAAAGGCGGGGCTAATAAAGGGGCGGGGTTTAGGAAGGTAAAGAAGAGGCGGGGTTGTGAAAGGGGCGGAGCCTGGATACTCAGGGAAATTTGAGCGAAAGGGGCGGGGCTAGGAAGGTAGTAATGGGGCGGAGCCTATATTATATTGTATGACATATTATATTTTATTATATTTTATTATATATTATATTGTAATAATATAATAATATTATATGATATTATACTATAATTATTATAGATAGTTTATAGAATCTTTATGTAGAATTTTTATATAATTTTATATATTTTATTATATATTCTATTGTAATAATCTTTTGATAATATTATGTAATATAATTATTATAGATAGTTTATATATATATATATATATAGAATTAATAAACAACTTTCTCCCCATATAGACTCTAGGCAAGGCAAATAAACACTAGAAGGTTTGGTGGGCGTTGACCTTGAGTTTGGGAATTGTCGTTACTGGGATTTATAGTTCACCTACATCCAGGGAGCACTGTGGACTCAAACAATGATGGATATGGACCAAACTTGGCACTGATACTCAATAAGCCCAAATGTGAACACTGGCGGAGTTTGGGGGAAAATAGACCTTGACATTTGGGAGTTGTAGTTGCTGGGATTTATAGTTCACCTACAATCAGTGAGCATTCTGAACCCCACCAATGATGGAATTGAACCAAACTTGGCACACACAGAGCTCTCATGACCAACAGAAAATACTGGAAGGGTTTGGTGGGCATTAACCTTGAGTTTGGGAATTGTCGTTACTGGGATTTATAGTTCACCTACATTCAGAGAGCATTGTGGACTCAAACAATGTAGGATCTGGACCAAATATCAGTACTCCATATGCCCAAATATAAACACAGATGGGGTTTGGGGAAAATAGACCTTGACATTTGAGAATTGTCGTTACTGGGATTTATAGTTCACCTACAATCAAAGAGCATTCTGAACTCCACCAACGATGGAATTGAACCAAATGTGGTACACAGAACTCCCACAACCAACAGCAAATACTAGAAGGGTTTGGTGGGCATTGACCTTGAGTTTGGGAGTTGTAGTTTACCTACATCCAGAGAGCACTGTGAACTCAAACAATGATGGATCTGGACCAAACTTGGCACGAATACTTAATATGCTCAAATGTCAATGTCCATTTTCCCCAAACTCCAACAATATTCACATTGGTGGAGTTTGGGGAAAATAGACCTTGACATTTGGGAGTTGTAGTTGCTGGGATTTATAGTTCACCTACAATCAAAGAGCATTCTGAACTCTACCAATGATGGAACTGAACCAAATTTGGCACACAGAACTCCCATGACCAACAGAAAACACTAGAAGGGTTTGGCGGGCATTGACCTTGAGTTTGGGAGTTGTAGTTCACCTACATCCAGAGACTACCATGGACTCAAAAATGATGGATCTGGACCAAACTTGGCACGAATACTCAATATGCCCAAATGTCAATGTCTGTTTTCCCCAAACTCCAACAATGCCCACATTGGTGGAGTTTGGTGAAAATAGACCTTCACATTTGGGAGTTGTAGTTGCTGGGATTTATAGTTCACCTACAATCAATGAGCATTCTGAACCCCACCAATGATGGAATTGAACCAAACTTGGCACACAGAACTCCCCTGATCAACAGAAAACACTAGAAGGGTTTGGTGGGCATTGACCTTGAGTTTGGGAATTGTCGTTACTGGGATTTATAGTTCACTTACATCCAGAGAGCACTGTGCACTCAAATAATGATGGATCTGGACCAAACTTGGCACAAATACTCAATATGGCCAGATGTGAACACTGGTGGAGTTTGGGGAAAATAGACCTTGACATTTGGGAGTTGTAGTTTCTGGGATTTATAGTTCACCTACAATCAAAGAGCATTCTGAAGTCCACCAACGATGGAACTGAACCAAACTTGGCACACACAGAACTCCCATGACGAACAGAAAATACTGGAAGGGTTTGGTGGGCATTGACCTTGAGTTTGGGAGTTGTAGTTCACCTACATCCAGAGAGCACTGTGGACTCAAATAATGATGGATCTGGACCAAACTTGGCACGAATACTCAATATGCCCAAATGTCAATGTCTGTTTTCCCCAAACTCCAACAATGTTCACAAACTCCACCAATGTGAAAATTAGGTTCTTGTGGGTTTTTTCAGGCTGTATGGCCATGTTCTAGAGGCATTTTCTCCTGACGTTTCGCCTGCATCTATGGCAAGCATCCTCAGAGGTAGTGAGGTCTGTTGGAATTAGGAAAATGGGTTTATATATCTGTGGACTGACTGGGGTGGGGCAAAGGGCAAAGAGCTCTTCTCTGCTGGAGCTAGGTGTGAATGTTTCAGCTGACCACCTTCATTAGCATTTGAAGGCCTGGCTGAGCCTGGGGGAAAACTTTTGTTGAGAGGTATTAAGATGTGCCTGGTTGTTTCCTCTCTGCTGTTTTGCTGTTGTAAATTGTGTTAAAATTTTTGGAGTTTGGGGAAAATAGACCTTGACATTTGGGAGTTGTAGTTGGTGGGATTTCTAGTTCACCTAAAATCAAAGAGCATTCTGAACCCCACCAACGATGGAACTGAACCAGACTTGGCACACAGAACTCCCACGACCAACAGAACATACTGGAAGGGTTGGGTGGGCATTGACCTTTAGTTTGGGAATTGTAGTCCACCTACATCCAGGGAGCACTGTGGACTCAAACAATGATGGATCTGAACCAAACTTGGCACAAATACTCAATATGGCCAGATGTGAACACTGGCAGAGTTTGGGGGAAAATAGACCTTGACATGTGGGAGTTGTAGTTGCTGGGATTTATAGTTCACCTAAAATCAAAGAGCATTCTGAACCTACCAATGATGGAATTGAACTAAACTTGGCACACAGACCTCCCATGACCAACAGAAAACACTAGAAGGGTTTGGTGGGCATTGACCTTGAGTTTGGGAATTGTCGTTACTGGGATTTATAGTTCAGCTACATCCAGAGAGCACTGTGGACTCAAACAATGATGGATATGGACCAAACTTGGCACTGATACTCAATAAGCCCAAATGTGAACACTGGCGGAGTTTGGGGGAAAATAGACTTTGACATTTGGGAGTTGTAGTTGCTGGGATTTATAGTTCACCTACAATCACAGAGCATTCTGAACTCCACCAGTGATGGAACCGAACCAAACTTGGCACACAGAACTCCCACGACCAACAGAACATACTGGAAGGGTTTGGTGGGCATTGACCTTGAGTTTGGGAGTTGTAGTTCACCTATATCCAGATGGACTCAATAACCGAGGTACCCAAGATCATATGTACTAAGAATCCAAAGAAGGAGAAGTTCCAAACAGTCCTCAAAAGACAAACGAAGTCCTTCTTGATGTTCAGGAGCGAGAGGAATCCTTTGCGTCGCGTCTCCGGAGCAAAGCACAAATCCCCGCTGGCAAATTCCTATTCCTATTATTATTATTATTATCTCCCTGAAGTGTTCGGGTTTTTTTTCCCTTTCGACAACGGACAATAACAGGTATGTTCTGGATCGTATGGTAAATTCTTTCGGGGCCACCGCTGAGCAGAAGCCTTATCTTTAAAAAAGCAGCAGGAAGCGGCGGAAAAGTCATCTCGGAGGCATGACGGACATCCAAGCCGAATCCTTGATCTTTAATATATTCCGTTTTCGCTCTGTTGGAAAAACATTCTTATGTTT